TTTTTGTATCTTGGTTGAGTATTCCAGAGAGCCGTAGAGATGTATAGATAGAATGGCAAGGCGTCCCAGTATTCGCTAGAGGGATGTTCAGAAATCGTATCACTGCGAAACAAACCATACTAAGGGAAGCGAAGCCGCAGAGGAACCACCCGAAATTGGGGGAAAATGGCCTTTTTATAGCCTGCAAAACTGGTTTAGCGATCTCTGGTGAGATTCTTGAAATATTTTTTGCTGTATTTGATTGGTTAATGTGATAGAATCTTTTACGTGGGCATTTTATGGAATGCATAAGAGGGAGGTTAAATCTTTTGTAAGGGTATTATTTTATTACTCATCTTATCCACGGGAAAACACTGATTTGGTGATGTATTTTATTAAATATAAGTATTAATTATTACATGTATTAAAATGTGATACTACAGTTTCAATCCATAAGGATTTAGACCATTTAAGCTAAGAACACCGAGAAATAATTCTTGGCAGAAAACAAAAATATAATCATAAATAACTGAATTTTATTTATTATATAAATTATAGATAATAATTTTACCTCATAAAACGTTTAAAATCACAACCACGATATGCATCAACAGCTTTTTCACTAATAAATATTCTTCTATTTATTCAAACCAATGTGATTTTCGTGCTAAAAACGTAAAAATTACTCATTGCATGTTCAACGTGTAACTTTTTGTAATATTTTATGGACCTTTTTTGGTATTTTTTCTGTACTGCTATTTCTTTGAATATACTGCACCTTCCTTGTCTGATAACTATGCTGATATAACAAAGGTAAAAAACATTAATTGACTATTAGTGAAGTTGCATATGTAGCTCAATAGATTCATTGTGCAAATATTTGAAAGTTTATCATTATCAATGCGAATTTTTATAAAAATTTATGTGCTTAAATTTCAAGATAAATTTAGCTATCAATAATTTGACAATAATATATTATGCAATGTGAAAATAAGATTACTCACAATAATTTTTGTTTTTGGATATTTAAAACGGGTTTTAATTGGTTTAATATTTTAATAAAAAATTTTTCACAGATACATGGGCGGAAATTCTTTTTCCGTGTAGAGGTATGCCATTATGCAAACATTAATTTGAAATAATCAAGTTCACCATAGTAAAAATAAAATAAAAAAACTAACTAAAACAATTATTTCTGTTAAATTGTTACCATTACAAGTTAAAATCTGAAGTATTTTAGAAAACATAGTTTTAGTTAAATTATTACTATTACAGGTTAAAAATTTAGAGTATTATTCCAGAATACAAAAATATCATATTTCAATACTTTTTGCAAATATCCATCTTATTACATATTAAAACATAAAAATAATTCGCCAATGTTAGAAAAACTAACTAACTCTTAGTTTTATTTTTAAATGAAACAACTCAGTCATTTTACCCCGGAAAATTATTCTCGAATATTAAATAAACTAAATTGTAATTCCTAGATAGTTTGAAAATATTGGTGTTTTTTGAGTAAAGATCTCATCGTCACGTCCGTTTTTGGCTATAGTCGATTTGCACTAAAAATGACTGAAATATATAAATCACAATTAACACAAACCCAATTCTAAACTATTTAAACTTTTAACCCAACTTAACTTAGTGCAAGAAATCTAAACACGAAGCAAAAATGTCATGTTAATTGTATCATTATATATTTTGTAGGATATCGAATTCAATATGAAACAGGTTGGTTGAATAAGAAAAAAAATACTTAAATTTTATCCCTTTTTAATACTTATATTTTTAAAATTGCATCCTTTTATAATAAATACGTTTTGAATTATAAAAATGAAAGAGTACAATATCATTAACTAATAAACCTAGTAAAACGTATACTATTAAATTCTATTATTTATAATTTTATTAATATTAAATTATTGAATATGAATTTCATAATATATTTAATTACTATCATAAGTATTTATTTAAATATTATAAATCAAATAACTACTAACCAGGATATAATTAAGGAAATAGGAATTGATATTGCTTTTAAAGTAATTCACCAATTTCTTAAAATAAAACACCATTTACAAATTTTCATCGAAGCGTTTCTTATGGTAGAGATTTTAATCACAAGTTATTTTGATTCGTTTATTTGATACGCCCCAAGTGAATACCTCAGTAACAAACGTCAACCTTATACCCAATACATTTTACTATTTTTTTTTTTTTTTGAATTTTCCTGATTTTAATAATTAAATGTTTAATGTATTTTTGTTCTATTGATTCTGATTCCTGCAAAACACTTACTGTACCAGATATAGCCGAGTATTTCTACCTGAATCAGTGGACTACTTAAGGGGAAGTTCAAAAGTGGCTTACGCATCAAAGGCGCGTCAGTCTCGTGAAACCCCAGCTAAGCGAACCTTAGTATGTTGTTATATTAAGATGGCTCTTATTTTATAAACTTTTATTGTTAGATCTTTGTACCCATCCAATTTTTCGTTAATATATGAAAATTNCTTTGTACCCATCCAATTTTTCGTTATTATATGAAAATTATTTGCGTTAAATTTGGTTTATATATCCTACCCATTCAGGTGCTGAATCTGGGTTAAATATTCACTCAAAAAGGTAGTTTTTCAGTTTTTGATCATTATTTTTAAAACTTACCCACTTGGCGTAAAAATGTATAGAACATAAATTATAAACTTCAATATTTTCTTCAAAAAAGGTTATTACAAAAATTTTGTAAAATTAATTTTACTTGTTCAAAAAATAAAAAGTAGAATTTGTTAAAATTCACTTTTTGAACATAAATAATTCTGAACTTTCGAAATAATCATTTTAAAATACAATGATTCGTATAAAACATATGTAAAATTAAATATTCTACAATATTTGTCTTTGGTAAAATTATCAAAATTAATAAAATATTTTTGTGAAAACATTTTTTGATGAAAATATTAAAATCTATATTTTATATTATATACATTTTAACGCCAAGTGGGTTAGTTTTAAAAATAATGATAAAAAACTAAAGAACTACACTTTTGAGCGAATATTCAACACCGATTCAGTACCTGAAGGCGGTAGGTTATATAAACCAAATTTTCCCAAATGACTTTCATGTATAAATGAAAAAAATTGGCGGGTACAGAGATCGATCAATGAAAGTTTATAAAATAAGAGTCTTCCTAATATATATATATATTTATCAATCACCCTAATTGTGGTATTTTTTTTTTGCCCTAAATTGTAGTTCAGCATGGGTATTATTAAATGGGATTTAATCACTAAATATTTAATATGACAGATTTTTAAAAAAGTATTATTTTGTAGAAACTATTTGTCGGATTTACATTTTCAAGGGGCGAAATTACATAATAATTATATTATCATAATTTCACATAACTATAACAAAAAACCAAATAATTTTTTTTTTTTTAATAACGTGTTTTAAAATAACATAATTTTCTTTAAAAACTTTTTTTTATTTTTTGTTTTGGAATTTCATTTTTTTCTTGATAATGTTTAATAGTTATGCCATCATGATATTGCAAAACATTTACTAAAAACCCTTATTAAACCTATATTTTAAACCATAATAACAAAAAAAAAAACCGATAATTTAGGTATTTTTGTTTGTCGATTTATCAACTTAAAAAAGCTATAACTTTTAAACTTAAAACTATAAGACTTTTGAAATAAGCTTGTAAAACAAACGTTTTGAAGACAATAGAATTTAAATTTATGAGAGGTGTAGTAAAATGCATTTGTTCCGTTTGTTACCCTAATTCTGATGTAAAAATTTTTGTGCAAAACAATTATTGTGTCCGGCGTAGCTGGGTACTCCTATCAGAATCAGTGACCTACTTAAGAGAACGGCCCAAAGAGGCTTAAGCATGAAAAATGCGTGAGGCTCCGAGTCTGGGGCAACGCCTCAGCTAGATGGAGCCTAGTAAAAAATGTTTTTGATATATAATTAGGTAATGAAGAAAAAACTCAAATTCCTGTTTGTTTCTAATAAAATTAATTGATTATAAATAATTTTACCTTAGACGAAAATCTTAAGAGAAGATTGGAAATGGAGAAATCGTTTCGAAGTAATTTATTCATAAATTGTAAGTTATCGTTTTAATAATAATTGTAAATTGATTTATATTTCAATACATAATGTAAATTATGTAATACGTAATATAACACATGTAATACTATATCTATATTTTATCTATTGTTAAACAATAAAAAATATAGACACGTTAATTTGTTAGATTTTCTATAAAATACAATTGGAAATAAAACACATTTTTTCCTTATTGTAAAAATAATTATTCCAAAATCTTTTATTTACTAAGTCAATTAATATATCCTAAATAATAAAAATCATATCCACTAAAATAGCCAATGAAATATCACCCGAGACCAGTAGAAAAATATCCCAAATAGTGCAACAATTATTAACGACAGTTTAAGCCATGGAAAAAATCCACACGTCCATGGACTAGAATAGTGCGATACCCATCCAAAATGTATTCAACAGCCAAAAAAAAATATATTATAAAATTCTATTTTAATGAAAAAAAAATTGTCCAACCTCTTCCTCAGAAAAAAATGTTTATATACTCACTTGCTATATCCATTATTATCGTCTAATAACAATAATTTTGTTAATGACACGTAAAATCGCAGAGGGGTTAATAGCCTCCTGACTAAGAAGAAGCCAAAGAAGGGCTTTGGGCGTTACTGAATTGCATAATTTATTTACTTATAAAAGTTGGTTTAACGTGTAAAACTTTTTTATTTATAATTATTTCTTTTATTTAAAACCCATTTTTCAATGTTTTGTCATCTACTGGGATTCCGGTTATTAGTAATGTCATCATGTATCTGAAATATAAATCTAAAATTCTACGCTCATACTCCTATCACAAACTTCTTAATATTTTATATATAATATATTTAATATTTTAACATTTTAAAAATAATTGTACTATTTTATTATTCACGTAGAAATTTTATAATACAATTAAAAAAAATATTTTTAATTTGGACTTTTATTTATAGCTCATAATCAAGACGTTTATATGATTAATGGTAATATTTTATGTGAATCAAATCTGTAGGATATACAACAATTAATATTTACTTTTATTTCAGTTTTAGAAATATTAAACTACCCTAACGAAGTAGAAAAACGCTACGCTTTAATTAAGGCGTTAGTAGAAAACATGCTTACAGAAAATTTTCGTAAGTAAAATTTATCAAACAATTATTAAGTATTTAAGTATAAGTATTAAAAATTAAAAAAACATAGATTGAACAAGACAATAGCCATTTTCTTGTTTACAATTTTTATATGGAATTTATGTGGAATTTTGATGATGATTCCAAATTTGACTAAATTTTGAGATAATTATTAATTGATAATTAAGCGATATTTACACTAAAAAATATTATATTTTTAACTTTTTACAAATTATTTCATAATGGTTAGTAAGAGTTGTACAAAATTTGAAACTGCTCCATCTTGTTTAACCGATTTTTTGAATTTTAAAAGTTGAGTTTGAGTTTTATTTTTCAAAAAAAATTAAAAAGCTGAATATTTGAGTATAACTTTTTTTTGTTAAACTTACTATTATTGTGTTAAAATTATCGATTTTATATTTTTAACTTTATATTTCTATAAATTTTTGATGAATACATTTTTTTTAAGATAAATACTATTTATATACTTTTTTCATTTGACATAATTTTTTTTTAAATAGGACTATTTGCCTTTACACAAAGAGTGATTAAATTCTAAACACGCAAATAGACACTAGACCATTTTCAACTTAATAATTCAAAGTGTTTGGGAATAACAGATACTTTTATACATATATTCAATTAAAGCTTATGTAATATACTTTAATATAAAAAAAAAAATTTCGTACCTTACTTTACTTTAATAGATACATTATAGCCCACATTACATGACATATTAATCATCAATAATATAACATAAACTTATTTTTCAAAATTATAGATTAATAGTGAAATAAATTATTAAAATACATTTTTTTTCTTCAATTTTTTATGATTTTTAATGATTTTTATTAATCTTTAAAAGTTAAATGAATAATATTTATTAATATGTTTGTTTTATTAATAAAACATTTTCATTAATGGATTCTTATTGAGTAAAACTATAACTATTTTGTTTTTTTAGATGAAACAAAATTATGCGAAAATGGTTTTGTCGAGAAATGCGCATTGAAAGCTTATCTTGACTACATACAAAATCCACTTATATATGATCAATTTGTCTATTGTAAGAATAGTGTATGTACTGTCGAACATTATGCAATGAAAACTGGTACTGAAATTCTACTATTGTATGATCCAAAATTCTGTACAAAATACACAATTCAAGATTCTGCCCAAGATGTTGAGATAATGTCACAACATCTACATCACATAAAAATTTAAAAAAAAATAAAATAAATAAACACAGGACTTCTACTACTGAAGTTAATATTATAAAATAATCGCGTTAAGTACAAAATATAATATGTCATATTGTTAATAATATTGTATTTCATTATTCATTAAATTGATTTTAAATTTATTTATTTTCTGTTAATAATTAAAATCACTTGCATGCAAATAAATTTTATGTAAAATGCTAATGTATTACAATACTTTGCATAGCATACCTGATGAAGCCAAACGTTTTGGTAACAAAAAAATTATTTTGGCTTTATAAGTTATTTTAAATGTATATAATTAGTATAAAAAGATAAAATAGCATAATAACATTTAACAGAATATATAATTTAAAAATTATTGAAAAATAAAATTATGTCCCAATATTATATCTTAATAATAATATTTTATAATCTATGCATTATTTTTTGCCAGTCTCTTTCTTTTTACCTCTACGGTCATTGGCTACCAAATATCATCTGCATACTGTCGATGACAACTCTTTTTAAGAAATAAAATATTTCTTAAAAATTAAGTCATATTCTTAATTAATGTCATATTTCATTATTCATTAAAGTGATTTTAAAACTATTATTTTTCCGTTAACAATTAAAATTACTTCCATGCAAGTAAACTTAATATTAATGTTAAGTCACTGCAGTGACTTAACATTAATACTAATTCGGTGACATATTACATCTGAATTTGAAACAGATTAGGCACCTCAAGTCATTAGAATTATTAGAGCCCCATATAAGGAAAGACCACTGGGGTAGGGCTATGCGATTATTATATTACACAAAATAATCGATATTTAAAAAAAAAATTCAATTATAATCAGTTATTTGATAAATTATAATCGAATAATCGTATTAAATATAAAATAATCAAATTAATCGATTCATAAATTTAAATGGATAACACTAATAGATAATTATAATCGATATTAATCTATAAACAATTTAAACATTAATTTATGCTCAACTCTAATATATATTTAAAGCAGTAAAAAATTATTTCTTACTACTCAATTTTATTAAATATTAAATTTAACGATCTCAATATTCTTAATACCTAATAATTCTAAACAGAAATTTACTAAGAGTGTAGCTCTACGCTAGGACCAGTTAGTACTGGTGCTGTTCTGGTGTTTTGAGTTGAATAGTTGAGTATAACTCACAAATGATAACGCTATTCTGTTTCGATTGCCAGTATTGGACCGATAATGAGTCAGTACCGAGTTTAACTGGAAAAACAATAGGACAGTTGGTGTACTAAGCCAACGCTGCGATAGTACTACTGATCAATACTGATCCTGTCCTGGCTTAATACTGTCCGGTATCAATGTTGTACTGGATATGTAAAGATATCCAATGTGCGTCATGAGTATGTTAAACACGACGAATACAAAAGAATAACTGAATTATGATAAATATGTTTTGTAGAAAATCATTTCGTGCTTATAACAAACATAAATTTTACAGTAAATATATTTTTATGAGTAGGAATTTTGCGGTGCAACTACACTAAAACATTTTTTGGGGAGGATTATTATTGTTTATCTTTAAATGAAACATTAAATAACCATTGAAATCTGGCTACGTCATTGCATACAAATCTCCTTTCCACAGACGTCTATTGTTGCAAGGGCAAATACTATTTTCAAGGGATGACATACTCTAATTAACTGATTAATTTTTCACTGAGTTGCTCATCAGAAAAATGTTATGAGCAAAACAAAGTTTTTAACTTATTGATGACTGAGACTAAAATGGGACAAAATCGTCTACTTAAATGATTAGAATAACTGCCACGGAGGACAGAGTTCTTCCATACCTCCTTTAGTTTTCAAATTTTAGATGAGAACCCCAAAGGTTGCCCCTAAAATTGTTATTGTTGCGTGAGTTTAAAATAGTGACTATTCCTCAAACTCACGCAATGAACAAATTTTTTACTAAAACTGGTGTTTTTAGAATTATTTTGAAAAAAATTAATTACATCATAATAAATAATATATATATTATAAAATAATGAAAACATTTTCTTCAGCTACACCGTTTCCCAAAAAAATTGTTTCATTACATAATTGAACAATTTTTATAACATTTTAAGCTTTTAAATGAATACATATCGTTCATGCTTTGATTTCGTATTATTTGTATATTTTCCTCAAGAAAAAAATTTTAACTAAATTATATTACTTTATATGTACAGAATATTACCCAAGTCTTTGATTTATCAAATACCAAACACATAAAACAAGACAATCCATGAAAGCTTTAACACTATCGAATAAAAACACGTTTAAATATATTGAAATTGCTACCCAAACCATTAGTTGTCCACTTACTAATTATCTAAATAACTTAACCCCACTAAAGTTATACCATAATAATGATGATTCGTACAGTGTTTAATTTTAGCTTCGATGTGTAGCTGTGATGGTATTAATTTTACTATGATGTCTGTTTCTTTTAATAAAAATTTTTTTTTGTGTCTTTTACCACTCAATCTCAGCTCTAATCAACTTTTCGCGCCGTTTTCAAATCTGTAATTAGACTTTTTTTTCACGTCTAATTTTTTATATTATTACTGATTACATATAAAATAATTATTAAAAGAAAAAAAAATTTGTTTCACAAGATTACTGACTTTGATTATTAATATGTTAAAAATAATCAGTCCAAAATTTCATTTTGAACTAATTTTTTTGGTCCTTTAAAGTTGATGAAAAATTTTTGATAAAGTTTTGTTTAAAAGTTTATAGTAAATAGTTATTAGTTTATAAAGTTTATAGTAAAAAACGGTAGCACAGTGGGGTCGAGGCATAAATGGGACAAGTATAGATGATATCTGACAGTGATTAAAATCACTATCATAAGAAACGTTTCGATGCAAATCTTTAGATAGTGTTTAATTAAAAAAAATTGGTGGATTATTCCAAAAGCAACATCAACTCTTATTTTTTTGATTATATCCTAATTGGTAGTTCTTTGATTTTAAAATATAATATATGAATAAATACTAATTATAGTTATTAAATTTAGTATGAAATTGTGAGGACAGCTATGATGTAAGGTACATAGTGTTGGGCGGTTGATAAGAAAGTAGAGCAGAGAATAAGAGTAATAAGTTGGAATATGTTGGATGAGTGGAATGACTAGAGAAGATAGGATAACGAACGAGCATATAAGAGGAAGTATAGGTGTTGCGTCAATCGTGGATAATGACAGAAAATAGACTTAGATGGTTTAGTCATGTTATGAGGATAGAAGAATTGGAAGCTGTCAGAACAGTTATAAAAAAAGAATTTTGAAGGAAAAATAGGTAGAGGAAGACCTAAAAAGAGGTTGAGGGATGTTATTGAATGCGACCTATGTGAGTATATAGCTTACGTGAGCGTAGAAGATGTGGGAGATCGTGTCAAGTAGAAATTTAGGATAAGGGTGGCCGACCCCAAGTAGTTGGGATTAAGGCAAAGAAAAAGAAAAAGAAATTCCGGTGGCAATTGACATAATATGATTGTTGTTTGGGAATGTAAAATTTAGCATTAAGTTGGGTTTAAACAATATAGTGTCAAATCAATTACCTACTCTATCGGTTGTATATTAATATACACTACACTTTAATGATACAATAAATAATTAAATTCACACATACACACATATGCATATATAACATTATGTCTAATGTAATTATAACATGATAAAAAGTAACCGTAAAATGAAAAAAATTGAAAATAAATTTTAGTACACATATTAAATGTAATTTAACTCGAAAAATATTTGTTTAAACGAAAAAATATAAGGTAATTTTTTTGTTTATAATTGTTTTTTAAACAACTTTTGTACGAAACTTTTTTTTGTAAGTAAAATATTTTTTGAGAAAATTAAAAAAGCTCATATTTTTGCACTTTTGCGAGGCACTAAAAAAAAGCTCAATTCCAATCAATGAGGACTATTAGTATGTCATTATACATATCTTAATTTAATTAAAAAAAAAAAATTTGGTTGGGAATTTTTTCTGCCATTTTTCCTTTGTTGACTGGCCTAGATGATAATTTTAAACTTGTAATTGAGCTTAAAAAAGTTATGTTAATATATTCAATTTTTTTTACTATAAACTTTAACAAATCTTTATCAAAAATTTTTCATCAACTTTAAAGAACCAAAAAATTGGTTAAAAATGAAAATTTGGACTGATTGTTTTTAACATATTAAAAATCAAATCAGTAATAATTTGAAAACAATTTTTTTTTTCTTTTAATTATTATTTTATATGTAATTAGTATAGATAATATAAAAAATTAGAAGTGAAAAAAAAGTCTTATTACAGATTTGAAAACGGCGCGAAAAGTTGATTTAAAAAAGTATATTTTAATTCTGATGAAAGTTCCTTGTAGTCCAGTGCATTTATTTATAGTAACAAACAGTTTTTATTGAAAAAAATTGCATCAAGCCATTTAAATTTTTATACACATATAGGTGAAGCAAAATATAACCACTTTTTATTTTATGATTTCTTCTTCGTATAAATTACAATATTAAATTATTGAATAACAATTTCATACTAAATTTAAAAACTATAATTAGTATTTATTCATATATTATATTTTAAAATCAAAGAACTACTAATCAGGATATAATTAAAGAAATAAGAGTTGATGTTGCTTTTGGAATAATCCACCAATTTCCTACTTTAAAAAAAAAAATTTAGTAGATTTTTTCCGCTATTCGCCAAAATTATTTATTCGTTGACTGGCTTTATCTTTAAATAGAAAATTTTATGAGAATTAAAGAAATTGTATCGTTAAGATCAATATGCAGTCAGAAAGTTTTATAATTACCATTTATTGTAAATTTATCAGAAAAGCTCAATATTTTTTTGCATTTTTATCGTAATAGATAACTTAAATAGAATTTATAGTAATAATTACCTAGTAACTTTTGGTGTTTGAAATGATTCTGCAATTGAAATGTTCAGAACATAATTAATTTTAATGATTTACTTTAACTAAATGAACCAATCAAAACAAAGTCGTTAAAAAGATTGACTCAATTAAGCGTATAATAAAATTTGATTATAATTATAAAAATCCATTATTAATTCAGGAGAAACTAACAATCCTTTTTTTTAGATATGATTTATACAGCAACATGTTACCAAAAAATTTGGAATATAATAGTCTAGTAGTAGCACACACAAATAGAGTAAAAAAATTATTAAATAACAAAGTAAAATGATTTAATTTTGTAGTTGAAACCTATTATATCAAACTTCATTCGTCAATAAGTACTTTGAAAACATTAAAATTGAATGATTTTAATTGTCTTTATGGAGAACATGTAATAATTAACTGTTTAATTGATAAATTAGAATTTTTTTTCAATTTTTGATGGTAATATCTTCAACTAGATACGAATTGTAGTTATTTGACGTATTGTTGAAAAAAGTAGGTCAAGTTAGAGTAGAGAAAATAAATGATAGTCACAAAAAAATATCTTCTCATCTTTGTATCGAAGCTAAAACATAAAATATAGTAAAATAATTTTAATATGAATAAGAAATTTTTTCTTGCAAATGGCGATTACAGTGATGGGATCCTTGATCTTTATTGAAGTCATTTATTTATAAATGAGATAAAAATCAAAACAGTAGAAAATCTATTCTAACTTAAAAAGAATTAGGAAAAAATTTAATTGCCATATGCGGGTTGGAACCTTGTACCCCAAACGCATGAAACACAAGTTTGACCGACTCAGCAACCGTACGTTGCTAACGTCGGCTGAAAAAATTGGCTATTTAAGCTAATTCAAATTTCAAAACTATTTTTCTCGACTCCAAAAAGTAAAAAAAAATTTAACTTTCTATGCTATATCAATTTTTTATTTATATAATATTTATAAAAATCTGTACTCCCCTTGACAGGTATTTTAAAATAAAATAAAATACAAATCCCAGAATTTTAACACAAAAATAATATATTTTTGAATACGGTAGTCATTTTTGAAGACAAATCCAAAGGTCAAATTTTTTTTTTTTAAATTAAATTATATTACTTTAATATAAACTTTAATTTAAGATATATATAAAAGTGTCAGTATTTCCGGAACATTTTCAAAAGTTAAGTTGAAAAAGTTCTACTTTCTATACGCATTTTAAAAGGTTTAAAAAGGTTTGTGTATAAAGGGAAAAGGTCCAATTTAAAAAAAAAGTATGTCGAATGAAAGAAGTATATATAAAGTATTTATTGTTAAAGAATAGAATTGATTCGTGTATTTTTTAAAAAGTTATAGCATCAGAATGTTAAAAAATGTAAAATATAATATCAAGAATTTTTTCAGAAAAATAGCATATTTTTGCATACGGTAGTCATTTTCACCATGAAGACAGTCCAGAGGTCAATTTTTTTTTTTCAAATTAAAGTATATTACATAAGCTTTAATTTAAGATATATATAAAAGTGTCAGTATTTCCGGAACATTTTCAAAAGTTAAGTTGAAAAAGTTCTACTTTCTATACGCATTTTAAAAGGTTTAAAAAGGTTTGTGTATAAAGGGAAAAGGTCCAATTTAAAAAAAAAGTATGTCGAATGAAAGAAGTATATATAAAGTATTTATTGTTAAAGAATAGAATTGATTCGTGTATTTTTTAAAAAGTTATAGCATCAGAATGTTAAAAAATGTAAAATATAATATCAAGAATTTTTTCAGAAAAATAGCATATTTTTGCATACGGTAGTCATTTTCACCATGAAGACAGTCCAGAGGTCAAATTTTTTTTTTCAAATTAAAGTATATTACATTATCTTTAATTTAAGGTATATATAAAAATGTCAGTCTTTCCGGAACATTTTCAAAAGTTAAGTTGATAAAGTTAATGTTTTGTAAAAAAGTTACCATTTTGAAACACTTCCTGTGGGCTGTTAAAGGGTTAAATGTTCACAAAAATATATAAATTAATAGGTAAATATCTAAGGTATTTATAAAAAAAAATTATATTGATTCGATCATTTTTAAAAAAGTTATGGCACTTTTAAGTAAAAAAAATTGAAAAAATATCGAAAATTAGCGATTTTTAAATTTGTAATTTTTGGGGGTAATGTCTTCGACTAGATACGATTTGTGATCTTTTGACATATTGTTCATCAAAATCGGTCCAGCGAGAGATGAGATTGAGCGTTCACTGACACAAAAAATAAAAAAAAAAAAAAAAACACATAGTAAAATTAATACCTTCTCAGCTTCGCATCGAAGCTAGAAATAATTTATTTTACCATAACTTTTAGCTCAATTGGCAAGTTTGACATTGACATCATTAAATGGAAAATTTTATGACAATTAAAAAAATTTTATCGTTAAGATCAATATGCAGTCAGAAAGTTTTATAATTATTATTTATTGTAAATTTATCAGAAAAGCTAAATATTTTTTGGCATTTTTTTCGTAATAGATAACTGAAATAGGAATAATAGTAATCATTTTTTAGTTTCTTTTGGTGTTTAAAAATTGAAATATTCAGAAGTTACTTATGATTAAATGATCCAATTTTTAAAAGAAGAATATCAAATGAAAGAAGTAAACATAAAGTGTTTATATAAAAAAAAATTATATTGATCGATACATTTTTTAAAAAGTTATACTAATTTAAAGTTAAAAATATAGAATCGAAAATCGAAAATTTTAACACAAAAATAGCAGGTTTTTAATTACGACAGCTGTTTGTGCATAGAAGATAGGTCGTCGGGACATAATTTTTTTAAAATTTATAGTACATGGCATAAGCTTTTATTTGGTATATCTTTAAAGGACGCAGTATTTCCATTTTCAAAAGTTAAATTGAAAAAGTTCTATTTTTTATACATTGTTTCAAGTTTTAAACGTCCTCTATATAAGAGGAAATTGTCCAATTTTAATAAAAAGTATGTCAAATAAATAATGTTCAAAAATAGGACAGATGGAGCAATTTGACATCCTTAAGTTTAATTGAATCTTTTAAAAAAATTATTCACCATAAAAACGTCAAATTTAAATAGAAATACTTGAATATTGAGACTAATTGAAAAAATATAATTAATTAATATTAATCATTTTGAAGTCTATAAATTTATTAAAAAAAAAGTCAAATTCGACATCATGCCACACGCTTGAAGCAACATGATTTTTTTAATGGGTTAAGTTGTCACACCTTAGCTTAATGTAGACTATGCTTGAAAAATGTATTCCTCAACTAAAAAAGACGAGAATTAATAGTAAAAATTAAAAATTGTATTATATATTTTTAAATTGATCTAATAAGTAATAAAAAAAAAAAAAAAAAAATGAATTATAAAAATATTTAAAAGGGAAAATTAACCTAATGACCACTTAAAGTATGTTTCTTGATAATTATTAGATTTATTTTTTCAGTACATAATCTAGTATATTTCATATTCACGAAACAAATTATAGGAATAATAAATTATAAAATAACAAAAACAACCATTTCCCCAATTCAATTTTATTCAAAAATCCTACATAGTAATCCAATAATCTAAATAAAAATTTAGTTAAAATTGTACGTCATAAAATAAAATTATTATATTGTTCTTTTAAAAATATTCAATTTAAAGCAAACACATATGTTCATTTAATTTATTTTTGAAAAATAATTTTCATGTAGTTTAATATATTTGAAAATATTTCCATATAAAGTTGGCAAACATTACTATATTTTATACTTGCACACTTTTTAATTTTAAATATATATTAGTTATAACATAAGTCGTCATTTGTATTAAGTAAATCATTTAATTTCAGTAGCTCCTATATAAAGCAGATAATAATTTCTTATAAAATAACAAAAACTGGTAAGTAGACATTTACGAATTTTAAAACGTCATAACAATTGTCAATGTATATTATTGCTTATGTGAAGATTTTTTTACGTACTGTTTTAAACATTTTCACCGTTTGTTATACAGGGTGATTTTTTTATCATAACCCACTCAATTACTCGCAGAATAATAATAATTTAAACCTTTTTTTGTTTTATTATCTTTAGTTACACATTATTCTTGAATTTTTAACTATGTAATACTTTTTAAGTTCATCCCTTATGCCTTAGAGGGGGGTCAACTTTGATTTTTTAAATGGTAACACATATTTTTAATTTAATAAAATGTTTGAGTTTTTAATTTAATGGTAAATGGCATTTGAATTTTTAATATAACTTTATTAGCTTATTAGATATAAACATTTAAAGTTTCAACATTTTGAGTTAATATACATGTATAATACACATGGGATTGTAAATACAGGTAGTTAATTGGATTTTTATGACATTGCTGTCTCAGTCACGGATTGTTTATTATCAATTATGATTATCAATAGATATACTTTCTGTATTGTCAGTTAGTGTATTTATAAACTCATAACAATGTGCCTTACTATCATTGATAATAAACAATCCGTGACTGAGACAGCAATGTCATAAAAATCCAATTAACTACCTATATTTGTAATCCCCTGTGTATTATACCTATATATTAACTCAAAAATTTGAAACTTTAAATGATTATATCTAATAAACGAATTAAGTTATATTAAAAATTCAAATGCCATTTACCATTAAATTAAAAACTCAAACATTTTATTAAATTAAAAATATGTGTTACCATTTAAAAAATCAAAGTTGACCCCCCTCTAAGTCATAAGGGCTGAACTTAAAAAGTATTACATAGTTAAAAATTCAAGAATAATGTGTAACTAAAGATCATAAAAAAAATAAATGTTTAAATTATTATTATTCTGCAAGTATTTGAGGGGTTATGATAAAAAAATCACCCTGTATATAAAATTATTTAAATTTTACAAAATTAATAACTGTTGCATTCAATCACCATTAATTATGGGCTTAAGTAGAATTTTAAGTCTACGGTAGCTAAAGTCCCGCCATTTTTTTAGTCTTTTGTCACACTTAATCCTAGGTACACAATGTTGAACAAAAAGAAAAGACGTGACTTATTTTTTTTCACAAATGAGGTTATTTACTTACTGTAAATAAGGTAGGGTTGGTTAGGTTATTCTAAAATAAGATCTTTACTTATAGGAGAGAATTTCAATTTTTTTTACGTATATCTAAAAATAGGTCACCTAGACTCTAATTGTTTCATACTATAACAAATGCAAATGAAAAATTTTGTCTCTCAAAAACATCGATATATTTCTTAAGACTATAAATTAAGATATTTTATAAACTAATTTGAATAGTAGGTATATAATATATGAGCTGGATACCCCCCTAACACACATGATGTGGGTTTACCCTACCATAGGTAAACGGTAGCTATAAACTGCCGGGGAGATATGGTGAAAGGTCGATGTTGCTCGTTCCTAGTTAGCGTTTTGTTATACTATGGTACATGTAGATACTTAGGTAAATGGAACATCATACAATATACCTTGATATATTATAGAAAATTTGAGAGATTTTGAAAATTGCATAATTTTAGAAATATGTGAAAATATTTCAATGCAGAAAAATGAAAGGTGTAATCAAGCGGCGACGGCGGCTATTAATCCAACGAAACTCAACTATAGCTATGTGATGTGTATGCCTTTGGCCATAGAGAACCCCCTTCCTTGACTAACATATGTGTTAAAACAGTAGATCAGCGGTTTACCCCTACATAGAAGGGGAGGTAATGATGAAACTCATCATAAGGTGATCATTAATATGATATTAAAGTAAATCAATAAATATGTACAATATTAAACTATTTCATAAAAATTCAGTTATTTTGTAATTAAAGAGAAAATATTTATAATAATAATATTTTATCAAATTCTTTTTGATTATTAAGTTACATTACTGCGTTTGTTAATAGACTTTTTTTGTTAATGTGTAAACGTTATTGTATACGTTAATGTAGGTTAATTTTCTGACGTCATTGGGTTTCGGCCATTGTGAAGCCCAACTATAATATTTTCTTGGGTAAACACTGTTGTATTGAAAAATGTTGGACCACCATTTTCATCGCACATTTCTTCTTCTCTTTCTTAAAACATAATTATAAATTTAATAACAATAGAGATTATGACAATCTATGTTCATTAAACTTAGAGTTCATAGAGTAGTCTTCTTCTTAGAGCTGATGGTTTTTGATTACACTATGACTTTATCAACGATCTCACGCTCATTTATTCGAAAAAATCACATATTTTTATAGTGGGGTCGGAAAATCACAAAACACATATCCTCGTATACTAGTTCTTTCCTTCGCCATTTAAGTAATTTCACTTCAATATTATAATAATTAATTTTAAACTCTCGATTTCTAAATATTTGTATACAAATATATGTAATAGAGTATGTGTATTAGGGTGGCCCTCAAAATTCGAATGTCTTTTTTTTTTTTACGCTACCCCTTAATTTTTTTTTAATGGTCAAAAAAATGAGCTGTGCAAAATTTGAGACCGATCCGTTAAGGTTAACCCGTGCCCCCGGGCCTATTAAGTTGAGTCGAAGAGTCAAATTTAATAAAAATAANGAAGAGTCAAATTTAATAGAAATAACTGATCTATGTCTCATAACTTTTTTTTCTCTTAACTTAGAATAATAAAAGTAAAACTCAAGTAAAGGAAATTTTACAAGAAATTCAAAAATAATAACTTCAATGTTGTTTTCTCAATAAATAGCCCAATACATATAGACATACAGTAAAAAAC